GGAAATCCTCTCAGGTATTCTGGCAAGAAGTGATTTTTGTTTTTTTTAGTATTACCTAATGCAGTTAGTGCAGACTCCAACCCACCGCTAACAAGCTAAATATGCATGGCTTTGTTCAGATCACTGGCAGTAAGTGTTACTAATATCTCTAAATGTTGCATGCTGATCCAAATATTAATGAATACCAGCAGAACACAAGCAGTGGTGTTGGTCCTTAAAACGTCTGTTCTGCTTCCCGGTTTTAACTTTCATCAGTTCTTCCCTCAGTTCAAATTACTTGATGTTTATATCATCATTATTCCATGTTTTTTTTTTTTTTATTATGACCGCTGGGTGCCACGAGTTTCTTCTGTCCCCTAATGTCATTCTCTACCTTTTGACCTGCTCTGATCTCTCTCCTGCAGAACCGCATGCACGAGTCTCTGAAGCTCTTCGACTCGATTTGTAACAACAAGTGGTTTAACGACACCTCCATCATTCTCTTCCTCAACAAGAAGGACCTGTTCGAAAACAAGATCATCAAGTCTCCGCTCACCATCTGCTTCCCTGAATACAACGGTACATCCTTCACAGTGAATGGTCATTGTTTGCTGGATCCCGATTTAAATATTGAAAGGCCGGCCACTTTTCTAACTAAGGGATCAGATCATTTAAAATCTTAAGGCTCATGTTTTATGCTCAGCTAATCTGGTCACTACTTACATAGGCAGGTTTCTGAGCAAATCTTAGAACAAAATCAAGAGAAAGACGCCTTCCTTTGAGGACAGGCAACAATATGTGACATGGTGAATGCTTTGGTGCTAATCCTTATTCTTGTAAGAGACTAACTCAAAATTAAAACTGACCAAAGATGAGGTAAAGAAATTACAACTACTAAAAAGCAGAACGTAGACCATCACCAAGCAGCAACGTTCACCCCAAACTGTGAATTTGTGTCTTACCTATAGCTAAAACTTGCCTATCAAATTTAAACGAATTGTTCCTTGCAATGAGGCAAAGCTCTTGTTAAAAAAATGTCATAAAATCTATTCATAAGTTTTCAATAATTTTGTCTTCAGTAAAATACCTGCTGTCAATACTCACTACTGCAACCCTCAGGTGTAGTGGGGAACTGCTTGTTCAATCAAATATCCCTATCTCACAATGTTAGAGAATCTTTAAAAAAAAAATCCTGTATCCAGATTATGATCTGGATCATCACCAAAATGTAATGGATAGTTCCTTAGCATGAGATGCTTCTGATAAAAAAAATTGCATTAAAAACGTTTCAAGTTATCCTGTACAGAGACAGACAGACAAACAGACACACAAGTTCTCCTAAGAACATGACCTCCTTAGCAGAGGTAAAAAAAAAAAAAGGATTCAAGCTCCTGGAACCTGGGTGTGCGAGAACACAAGACAAAACAACAAAAGGTGAAAGTGCATGAGAGCGGTAGTGGCAAGGCAATAAGAGAAAAAAAAAGGACTGTGGGAAAGAAGGGTGCAGAAAGAAAAGGAAGCAAGACTGTGAGAAAGAAGGGATTAGAATTCCAAAGCTGTCCCTTCCCCTCTTCATCCCTTCCCACTTGCCGGACTCCGACCAAGTTCCTGCTGAAGCAGCCAGACAGCGTCGCTAATAGCCGAGAGCCACTGAGACATCAGAGACACTTGGACCAAAAAATTAGTCCGGTCACTGAGATCAGACTCATCTCAAAAGCATGAGAACAAAGGAAAGCAAGCCAAGAGCTGGCAGAAAATGGTCCTCACCCTATCAGCTAAACATGAAGTGGAACTAAAGGACACAGTGGATTTTGGATCTGGTGTGAAACTGATCCCCACACTGACTGTAGAGTTATTGCTCCAGTCGCTGTTTTTAGCTTCAGGTGGCCAGAAATGTCAGATTGTAGATACTGTAGCTGCTGATTGGTTTGTATTAATAATACAGAAAACAGCAAACTGCAGCAACAAATACAGGACATATTACCTACCATAACTTTCAATTTACTGTACCTAACTCTGTTCCAGCCGGTCTCAGACAGTTGTCCATGTTTTATATTCATTAAAGCCTGCTGGCAGTGAGCCTGGCACACCTCAGCAGAATGTTTGCTGAGCTTGAAAGGCTAAGGTTTTCTGTTTTCATAAAAAAATCACAAAATAGTGCTGACGGAGGGAACGGGGAACTGTTTGGATGAAAAGTGTTTTTAAAGCTGCATCGTAACTCCCACTGTGTTTCCTCTATGTCCCAACTGCAGGTCCGGATAATTACGACGAAGGAATCGCCTACATCAAGTCTCAGTATGAAGGAAAGAACAAGTCCACCAAAAAAGAGGTGTACTCTCACGTGACCTGCGCCACGGACACCAACAACATCCAGTTTGTGTTTGATTCTGTCACAGACGTCATCATAGCCACCAACCTGAGGGGGTGTGGCTTATACTGATGCTGCCAAGGATGCTCAGATGCTTTATTTCTGTGGTACCTAGTCATGTAACCCGTGTGGGACTGATTGGCTTGGTGTCGCCGTGTGACATTTGGTCAAACGCTGTGCCTGAGCTGTGTCCTCCTTTACTACAGAGCAAACCATGTTCCAGCTTGATTTCACTCATTCGCTGGTTGGTCAAAGCTTCTGCTGGCGTCTTTGCCTTATTTAGTTCTTGACAACCTTCCCTACATCATGTTTTTTGTTATTTGTTTTTTTTTTCACTTTTTTGACCTTTTTATAGTTCTGTTTGCCATAAAAAAAAAAAAACCCAGTTCCTCAACAACCCACAGGTCAGCATGTGTAAAGTATTATTCTAGCTCATATGATTAACCTATTTTTTTTTTTTTTTTTGTATTACTGAGAATTTGCATCTCATTGAAACAGTTGCACTTCCTTTATTGTGGAACCCTTGGCGCTACAGTAAATTAATACATCAAGAGAAAACAAAATAGTGCCGGTCTGTTTTACTTACAGCAGTTAGCGAGCTCTCTAAAGACAAAGTCTAGCAAAAGTGTGGGATTTTCCATCTTATAATTGAAACATTCCTGTGTTAGCCATGATACCTCTCCAGCGTATGAGTTTCAACATCCTAGGTTGCTACACAGAGAATTTATCTGAGTAATTTCTACTTACGCTGAAGAGACTGTTACTCCTCTCTAAAGTGTAAAGAATTACTCTTTTGATAAAAATTATTATTATTTAAATTAAAATCACATAATTTAGCATCTTCAAGATTCCGGCTCTTACAAAACCTCAGCATAACTAACCAGAAAATTCTAATATGGTATCAGAACTTAAAATAAATCTTGATCCAGAGTCTTGGAGGCCTGAATCCCTGAGCTGTACCGGTGTGAGCCACCGCTCAGAGATTATGTGGCTGCTAAGACCTGCTACATTCATCAATAAACATCTGAAACAAACACTCTGGATAAATAAAATGTTTTTGATTTATATAAAATAAGATAAACTTAATTATTTTAGAATAGAAAAGAGACACACTCATTTATGTCCAAATTTGAAGCATTTTCTATTTTCCTTTTTTTTTGTGTAGATCATGTGACAGAATGAAACAAAACTAATATCAAATCATACTAGAACTGATAACTGATAATGCACAGTTGTTTTCATCCAAATGTAATAAATTTCCACTTTTTTTTACAAGGAGAACCATGATTGGATTTTATTTTTGATAAGAATCTCATTCAATATGTTGTTAGCAGAGAGCAGCTGCCCAGGGTAGAGCCGTTTGTCACTTCCTTGGCTAAACTAATAGGAAAAACCGGATGCAGTGGCCCCATTTTTAACCTGAGGAGGTCACCAAACCACCGACTTTAAACACAAGAACAGCATTTCAACAAATGTGTGGTGAATTGTTAAAATTATGCCTGGGACATGTAGACATCACTAATTTATATAGTTTGTAATATTAAAAAAAATTTATTTAGTCCTTTAAGTTTTTCTCAACTTCCACCCTTTACTGTATACTGATTGCTCTAAAAAGTTTCTCTCAGTCTTATCAAAAGAAAGTAACTCTTCAACTCACAGTTAAGAAAAAACAGCTGTTAAAAATACTTTGAACTATTTTAACTGTGGAATAATAACCCGCCATTTTTCCTGTGGAGTAGGCAAAAAAATCTCAGTGACGTATTATGATCCCGTTGCCGATCTACACTGGACCGAACAGCTGGCAATAAAATCCTGAGAAAAAGAAAAAATGTTTGTGCATGGTGAGAAATGCTTTATTCCCATGATATAGAGTGAAAATCTGTTTAAAATAATTTACTTTTAGGGCATGCATTGATGCAGTGGGGCTCCTCAAACATCTGCTTATATTTGCCTAATATATAATAGTAGTCTTTGAGTCTCATTAAAGGCCATCTATATTGTAAATGCAAAGTGACCTGGGGTGCTTTAATTATTTTTGAATTCCTATAGAAATTCCAATATTCCTAATTAAAACATAATCAGATGATTATGCGCTTCTTTATTTTCTAGAAAATTAGGAATTAAAGGAAGGAAACCAGGATCGGAGCGGAGAGGAGGATGCCATCTTTGTCTCTTCTCCACAGGACTCATGTTGCATCGTGCATGGGTCCATTATAGAACCACTTAAAACAAAGGGCTAACAAAACCTGCTGCTGACTCAGGCAGACAGTTCTTAGCTAGTGGCTGGATGAAAGCATCGATTTCCCCCTGCCCTGAGACCACACCATTATCTTTGGTTGCTTTCATAATACTCTTATTGTCCACTGTAAAAAGCCAGGGGTGAGATTTTAAAGATTATATCCTGAATAATGTAGACAGATATGAGCTGCTTAAATTAAGAAATATTGTTAACATGTTTAGGAAGGATTTGCAGAATCCTCTTTAAAGTTGCTTCGATTAAACAGTCTGATCTGAGTGGGTTTGCAGCTGTTAGTGCTCCTTAGTAAATTTGATTTCATTGCGCATAGTGCATCATTCATCACTCCCATCCTGCTATACTCGGACAGGTGGGGTGCATTATTTAAACAGGTAGATGGCACCATTGCCTCGTTTGCCACATTTGTAACAAATTTCCTAATTAGAGGCAGTGAAGTCCCCCCAGGCTGTTGATAGGCCTGCTCTGCATGAGTCTGCATGTGGATTTTCAGTGTCTGCGTTTGCTGATTGCATCCAGTAAACTGTGTGTGTGTTTGTCATTTACCAGAGCAGAAAAGGTCAGCGTGCAAACTTGCATGCATGCATGTGTATGTGCTGTATTAGTTACAACATCGGCTCACGGGTGGAGTGCTGGAGCTAGTTTTGGTGGATTAATTACCCACAAGGCACCTGTCTACCCTTTACACTACCGCAAACACAGACCAATGCACACACATGTACTGAAGGCACTAAAAGCCCTTGGGTTTTTTTGAAATGTCACAACACCTTCATTTGCCAAATGTCTCCATCATTTGCTGCTAAAAGCATCAGATGGATTCAGGTCGTTTTGGCAAACAGAAAAACTGTTGTTTGTTGTGGAATAATGATCTATTATATAATGTTTTTTAAAGATACACCATTTTAAGGATAGTCTCCAGGTAGATAAAATTTTGTAATTTCTTATTTAATGAAAAGAACAAAAAAAGAAACATTTATTTAGTAATGATGAAGCTGGCCATCCTCTCCTCTCTATGAAGCTGCATAGCTTTGTAGGTTTTTGTTAAATGTGTTCACCCACTGGGGCTCCATATCCAAATTAATATACTGTCTTTATTGCCGTTTCATTAAAAGAATGTTGATCTGTTAAAAATGTGGGTTTTCTGTTTAAATTTTGGAACCCAAAGGGCCTGTAACATTCAATGGTACCATAGGAGCACAGTTTGTTGTTTTTTCGTTGGTTTTCTTTTTAAGTTTCCATGTAATATTTTTAAGTCCTTAGTTGTATGAGGCCCTGCGATGGACTGGCGACCAGTCCAGGGTGTACACCGTCTCTCACCCCTAGCCCTGGAGCACCAGCACCCCTCACCCCACTTGGGATAAGCGTGACAGAAAATGGATGGATGGATAGTTTTATGGGTTCAGTTTTAGCAGTCTATTGCTATGCTGCTGAGGTAGCCTGTGTTAGCCAGGCATGCTAACTCCAATTCTAAAAAGAAGCCAGCTGAAGATGGTCCCAGAAAAATGTCCTGCTGATTTTTCCCTGTGCACATCTTTATTTGCCTTGGGGCAGATGCCTTTGATTTGAGCCGTTTCTTATCAGTTTGCTTTAAGCGTTGTTGAGGCCGATGGAGATATTCTTAAGCTTAGCACCATTAATAGTATAACCCTAAATTTGTTCACAGGTTACACATAATTTGTACTTAAATTGTATAATTAGTGTTTGTTTTTTTTGTTGCCTACATCTATATGGATTTCTGTAAATATTTTTTTGATTTCAAGATTTCAGTAGTTGGTATATCTTTGGTTACAGCTCATTGTTTTAAAGTTCATGTGTGTCTTTGGAAATATCTTAGCGTACGTCTCAAACATTATTTAAGGGCTGTTACCAAGAGGATGTGCAGTTTGTCCAAACTTGTCTGAGTGGAAAACATCTAACATGGCTCCCACTGATGACCTTGCTGAGTCTTAAGGCATTTAAAAGTGTTGGATAAATAGCTGGTCTTAAAGTTAGGATAAATGGAGGTATTTCAGCAGTTATTCACACTGCATAAAGGTAATTACTTTAGAATGCATAATTAAGCCCCTCGTAGTATGTCATATTTTTGCACTGTTCGGCTCTTCAATCATATGTTTTCAAGTTGATATTATGTTATTTAGGCCACCATCTTACCCTTTTCCATTTAGCAGAAACGTGTATTTTCCAAACTGTTGTTTTCTCAAGTGAAATTAAGCGAGATTCATGTTTTATACACTGTGCTGCTTTGTTGTCATTTCAAAGCAGGGCTGATGAGAAACCAACAGCTTTCTGAACCTGAAATACGCAGTGTGACCTGTGGCCATTTCACTGGCCTTTTTCCATCCGTTTTTAACTTGAAACTGCTTTCAATGCACCTTTTATGCAATATCTTTTTTTTTTACGGGTCTGAAACATTAGGAAATGAAGTGGAATTGTTTGATGCAGTGTGTGAGCAGACAACTTGGATCACTGGTGGGGAATTCACGTCCTTCCTCCGCATCTTGACTGGCTACATTATTTTTCTGTGCTGTCAGTTTCAAAAAAAAATGTTTTTTTCAAATAGAAACATCAACAGACCATCAGGGAATTAAAATGTAGTCCTGTATATGTGTTATTGAGCAGTTAGATTAAACAAATCAATCAGATAGTAATTTTCACTTTTAGTTTCAAGTTTAGTTTCAAGCATGCTGTGGTTAAAAAGAAAAAAGCATTTAGATTATATAATTTAGCTGATTCTGTACATTTGGGTTTTACTTAGTGTATGTGAAACAAAGCATGTACTTTTTTTTGGCACGGGCCAAAAATTCTGTGGCATCCCAGTTCAGTCGGTGATTGAATTGTTTGTGCTGTCGAGTAGAAATGCATAAAGAGGCAACATTGCAGTGTAACTGTTGAAGCACGCATACACAGTATTCTAATGAGGGTTTAAGTAGGATGGAGTGCAGCATTAGTTCTAATTTTTACCAGATGAGTTTCTGTATACTGCATATTTCTGAAGAGGAAGTAATACTAGATTGTAGCCGCTGGTTGCTGGATGATGAGAACAGACATGTCATTCTCAGGGAAATATTTCTCTTTCTTTTCAAGAGTGTGTTAAACCCTACACAGCAAAAACCTAAATAAGTCTTATTTTTTCTTAAAATAGGTGGATTTGTTTCTTGAATTTAGAAGGTATGTGAGACACTTTGCCAATGGAACAAGACAATTTACATTTAAAATAAGAAAAAACATTGCATTGTCTTATTTCAACTGCATTTTATCTAATTATCTTATTTTAAGAGTTAAAAATCTCATTACATCTTCAAATTATCTTAGTTACACACTCTAATCAAAGGTAAATACACTTGAGACATTTTTACTTATTTCAAGATTATCTTTACAATGCAACAATTTTAAAGGTTTATTATTACTCATATAGGTTCTCATCTTTTCCTTTAGATTTGTATCTTTTAGCCAAGTTTAATAATGTTGCAAAATGTAATGAAAGAAGATAATGTTCCAAATAAATTTAAGAAATTATATGAGAAAATATGAATATAATAGAACACCTCATAGTTTAATGTTTGTAAAGATTACGTCCTAATAGTTTTTTTAATTTTTATTTTAAATCACACCCTAATATGAACATAGGTTTTTGAAGTTAATCCATCAGTACATTGTAGAAAGGGGTTTGTTTAATAAACAAAGAAGAACCAACACATTCTCAAGACTCTGTTTTGCTTGGTTTGATTTAACGTTGTGAGCTGCTTGTTTTATCTTAAACCTAGAGCACATCCAATTGTTTGTTTCAAAATAATGTGTCCCACTGCAGGAACAAAGCAATTAGCAGTTTATAGGAAGAAGACAGGACTGATGTCGGTTCTCTTTTCAGAGAGAAAAACAATGAGTCAATTACTGTCTGTGTATAAACCGGGGAGTTGAGGTCTGACAGCCAATATGAGGGTGGTCAAAAAATATTGTTCGATGTGCAGTGTTAAATACCTTATCTGTGTGAGCTGCAGAAAGAGAGTCCAAAGCTGTGCAAGAAAGGTCAAGTGTCTTTGTTGTTTCAGAATCAGAATTTCTTTGCAAATCAGATATTAAGTCATCCGTTTCGATAACAAAGGCTGTGTGGCTGCTCCTCTGGGCAGCCGAGAAACACAATCACACTTTTTGTTTCGCCTGCTAACATGAGCACAACAAACTGCTGAAATGCCACATCGTTAGCCAGATGGAAGACCTAAAACAAAGTGCCAAATGTTTTCCATACTAGATTCAAACAAGCTCTCATCCTGACCTTGCCTTCATGCCCTTATGAGCAGTCTGATGATATACAGTTGCCACTTTGCCTTAATGAGCACTTAAAGGTTTACAGAGCTGAGGAGAAGCTTGCTGCACCGCAGGGTAGAAACCATGGAGCTGCATGGCTCCTGGCTCCATTAATGCACTCTGGAGGGTAGATTTAACTCCAGTGTATCAAATATGCCTTCTCTTATAATGCTCACACTGATTTGACATCCAGACCAATGCCCATGCCAACTAACATTGTAATCACTGTCCAGGTACTGCAAAGCATGCACAAACTGTCTGTGGATGTGTCTATACTGTATGTGTGCAACTGGTTGTGTTGCAACTCCTCTGTGTTGATAATTTATTGTACATTGTATTTATACATGAGACAATGATAATAAAGCATCACATAAGCAACCGGCAATCTGTGATTATTTCACTTCCTAAAATGTCTCCTCCATTTTAATAGTTTTGATCTTGTCCTTTGCTTCTCGTCTCCGTCAGATCTCTTTTTGGGATTATTTTCCACCGCCTTAATTATTTATTTGAAAGGATTTCCGTAAACAAGTAAAGGAAGGAGTTTGAGTGTGAGACAAATAAATGAAACAGAGCGCCTGTAGAAAATGTTGAAGCATTAATTCTACAGAAGTTTCCTTTTTTTTAATCATTCTTCTGCCAAGCATTTGTTATTGTGTAAATATGTTAATTTCTGATCACTAGCATTTAGTTTTGAAAACTCTTCTTTCTCCTCATCCTCTTTCCTGATCTTTGTTTGTTCTCCCTTTTTCACCTGTTTGCCTAATCCAATTTTCTCAACTCTTTATTCCCTCTCCATTCCCTCGTTGTTTCCCCCCTTCCTCTCCTTCCTCCTCAATAGAATCGCATGCACGAGTCTTTGATGCTCTTCGACTCCATCTGCAACAACAAGTTTTTCATCGACACCTCCATCATCCTCTTCCTCAACAAGAAGGATCTGTTCGCAGAGAAGATTAAGAAGTCTGCACTCAGCATCTGTTTCCCAGAGTACACAGGTGAGAAAAGTGAAGCAAACGTTACAAATGATAAGCAGCAGAGGAAACAGGAACTGATGTGAAGCCAACAGGAAGTGAAATACTTTGTTCACAGCACAGCAGAAAAAAGCATAATTCTAAATTGTTAATTGTCAAATCTTTTTGGCTGATACAGAATGTTTTTAGATGTTTTAATATTAAATAAGATAGAACCATGGATAGTTTCCTTTGAAATGTTGCGAAAAAAGTATTTCCTAACTTACTGATTTCTTATTTGCTTTGTTGCTTCAAACAAATATAAATATCAAAAATCTCAGTAACTACAAAAAAAATATTAAAATGGCAAAATATTAATTTCATTTGTTAAAGAAAAAGAAAATATTCCTTCTCAATAAAGTATGGTCTTCCAATTTATTTAATCTTGATCTTGATTTAATCTTGCTAAGTAAGCAAATCTTTGCGCAATATCAATAGCTCTGGTTTCAGAATCCTTTTCAAGGCTTTGAATCACATTGAACCAATATCCTGGTGAAAACATGCAACAAAGGTAAACCCTCGTAGAGGCCGTGCTACCATAATTACTCCAAGAATACACTGATTATTCATCCAGGAGGTCAAGAAAGATCACAGCGCAACATGTTAAGCACTGCAGAGTTCTCTTCCTTTCAAGGTCAGAGTAGATGATGGAAAGAGACTGTGACGCCATCAGAGAGCTCCAAAGCAATATCCATTATGACTAGAAAGAACGAAAGACTTTTACAAAATATTTTTCGGACTGACGAGCCAGAGATGCAACTTCTTAAAAGGTTTGTGACCTCTCTGTTAGAAAATACAGTAACAAAGTGAAAACATGCTGTAAACACAAACCCGCTGCAAACCATAAAACACATGCATAGACAAATTGTTACAGAAAAAAAACAACTGCATTTAATTAAAACTGCCAACTAGCTCTGCATACGGGAAGTGTTCCAAATGACTAGTGGGATACGTACAAGTACTCTGAGACTATTTAGGGGAAGGAAAGAGAAGGTCAGTTCTGATTATACCTTTATTAATGGCCTATTTCCATTTGAGTTAGTGATCCTCTACCCCTGATGGTCTGGAGCAGTCCACTTATGCAGTGCTGCTTTGCAGCCTTTCCTAACTTCTCATTATTTTTACTGCTAATAGCATTTTACTTGGCATGTGTTTTGTCTGTTATTCAGATCTTTGTCTGTGTTTGATTTTTATGCATGCTGTACTTTTCATATTTGTTTCACATTAATAACAGAACACTAAAGATAAATGCCCAGCAATAAGAATGCTGGTAGTTACTTCCAAATGTGGCTTGACTGATGTAGACGTGAGTGAAAACATGAAAAAAACATGTTTTTTTAATGTATATTTGTTTTTATATCAAAGTTACATTTCATGTCCAAATTATCAACACTTCAGTTTTGATAATTCGCTCTGGGTAAAATCTTGACTTATTTCTGTGCACCAAACTTAATTTAAACTAAATTTAATGCAAAAATATTCAGACCTAGCTAAACATTCGGTTCTGAAAGGTCTACCTCTTAAATTAAGGTTGAATTAAATAATTTGTATTATTATTTTTTTCTAACTTAATAACAAATGTTTAATTCCTGCACTCTGCATTCCTGAGGAAAACCTTAACCCTACACTGCTCCCTGGGTGCCACACAATGGCAGCAAGTTAAATTTCTCCAAGCTGAGATCAATAAAGTTTAATTATTATTACATTTGGAGAGAATACAATTTAACGTTTGGCCCCTCTCCTTTTATGTTTCAGTGGTTCTGACTGTCAGTGACGGGTTTATATTTCATGTTCGGACAGAAGATCTATTTTCTTGAACAGCTCTTGGCTAAGGAGCAAACACAATCATTCCTTGAATTTCATCTTGCGAAAGTGTACATCAACTCTTGACCTAAAACCTAAAATAAACC